TAATTGGGGTTGGAGCTAAACTCTGCAGGACACCGGCCCTCCAGGACCGAGTTTGGGCAGCCCTGCCATAGAGGGTTAATTTAGATATTACCATAAAGTAAATGACTTTAGGTTACCTGGCGAGCATTGTTGTGGATGTAGTGTTCAGTTTAAATATAATTTTTTAATTTTCTTTTATCTTGCTTTCTTTTAATTTCACTATTTCAGTTTAACGAATAAAATGGTTATTTTATAGTACTAGAACTTATAGTGTACTTTCACAATAAAGTACTGGATAGTTTAAGGTAACTATATGGGTTAAGGTTAGGTTTAAGCCTAGTTATTACCCTGTTATTGTAATTGCTAATAGTATGTACATGAGGAATATGACCATACAAGAAATTGCTACCAATAAAACAGTACAACACACACTAGATTATTTCAGCAGAAGTACAGTATTATTACCAACCTATATAGTATTAGCATTAGCCATATTACTAAGTGACAGATGAATTTGGCAAAAACATGGTTTAATTTGATCGACGATCGTTGACGTCAGAAACAAAAGACTTTTGATGCATTTTCCTATTCCTTTTAAATGTTGATGTGCATATTTGCATTGCTGTTGTCTTGTTTTTTTTTTTCCAATCTTAACTCAGAACATATAATTTCTTATAACAATTTAATAGAGAATCACTGATATGAAAGATACAGGAACTGCTAAGGCATTGAGGCAGGAACAGCTTGACTTACCCAGCATGCTAGAGAGCCAGAGCGCAAGGTCTTCCTTCATGGGCAGCAAACTGGCCTCATGTCTGCTGGCCAGCCACTGACTGTACTGCTGCAGATCTGTGAGGCCCGGACCAGCCGGCTGCTGCTTACCACTCAGAGGACTGAACATGCTTCAGAAAACAGAGAGGAACATCTACATCAGTACAACTAAATTACAGTAACTCAATCATTCAGCTTTGACCAAATCCCTCAAATGAATTATTTCACTTTCCCCCAGAGCACAAACGTCATCTGATCATTCAAGCCCTTTCTGTTGTTTCACAGTAGACTCTTATCCTCTATACCAGGGGTGCCCAAACTCGGTCCTGGAGGGCTGGTGTCCTGCAGAGTTTAGCTCCAACTTGCCTCAACACACCTGCCGGGAAGTTCCTAGCATGCCTAGTAAGAGCTTGATTAGCTGGTTCAGGTGTGTCTAATTGGGGTTGGAGCTAAACTCTGCAGGACACCGGCCCTCCAGGACCGAGTTTGGGCAGCCCTGCTCTATACCGATCTTCTCATCACAGTCCAGCTCCGGACTCCAGCTTTTGGAGCTCCAGCTTTTGACTCTATCTTCTCTGTCCTGTGATATCATATTCACTCGCTTTTTTTTTTAAAGACAGGACACACACTGTGATTCTTCTCTGACCCAAAAGCTCTTTACACAAATGAACATGCTCCCAATGAAACATCAGAATTAGTTGCAATGCATTAGATATAATTTTGTCACATTCAAAAAATCCAAGCATTTAGTAGAATTGTCATCTGTCTTGTTTGGTGTTTTACTAAAAACAACAGTCTTTAAAATTATGACCGGACTTGGCAGGACATCATCTGCAAAGAAGAATAGTGGGTGAAAACTGAAAGTAAATTGATAGGGACCGTCGAACACTAAAAAGAATTGTGTCCAAACTGCACACAAATACTGCAGCAATAGTGACCGCAAACCTCAAATTCGACCCTGTTTCCACAAAAACCTAACACAGAGAATTTCACAGCCAACGTGCATGAAAAAGCTGCAACTAATTTGTAAAATAAACGTTTGCTAAAACGTTTAATCACAGACACCAAGGCTAAAATTTGAAAAAAGGTGTCATGATCATCACCTCATCAAATTATGTTGGTTTTACCCCCATCCTTAGTCCACAGTACAAGCAAATCATACACAACAGGCGGGTTAATATGGTTCTTCTGAATATATAACATATCTCGGAAAATCTTGTTACTTTATATCATTGCTGCTTGAAGTTTTGTTCCATAGTTAGAATGCATTAAATGCAGTGGTTTGGTGTTTTACAAATGCAGAAAAGTGGTGATAATATGTGATGCCAGCCAGCATTGCGAGGGATTTCCCTTTACCCATAATTCATGCGAGGAACTAGAGAGAAGTTATGAGTTCTGAGAAGTGTATATATATCTTCAGTGATGCAGAACGGGACCTCTTCCTAAGTTTTGCTCTCCTGTATCCCACTGAGCAACCTGGAAATGAGGACTCGGGTCCAACAGTCGTCACTTTGTTGGGGTGGGCTCTGAATGGCTGGCAGGCGAAGTCGAACTGAAAGTCAATCTGTAGATTTTCCTTGTTCCACAAAATAGAACGCCAGAGTTCACTTTACCTGCCAAACGTCAGTCAGATAAAGCCAAACCTCCTCTTTCGTTCTCTTTCTGAAAGAGCTCCTGTTCTGGAAAAGGTTGAGAAAAAAAGAAACCAGAGAAATGAAAGAGGTGTTACTGGCTCTCTAAACAATAAAAAAAAGAGGACACACTGTCCCATTTGGACAAAGGCAAGGTGAACAGCAGTCCACTAAAAATATCAGTTCTGTCTGTCTGCTCTTAATATTTCCCAGACAGATTCAGTGTGCATTGGGTGTTGAGTGAGAAAGCTGATACGAAAGAATGTGAGAATGACCTTATTAGTGTTGCCTGCATCTTTATTATATTTCTAAGCAATCAGATCTGGCAGACAATAAAACAGATGAGATAGATTCAGTACAGTTACATTGAAAGAGGGAGCCAAGAAACAGACCTGAATAGCACAGGGACTTAAGAGTTGGCAACCACCAAGAAAGCTCCCAGAATCCCCAAACAAAACCTACAGAACACTCTAGCCCTAGAACTTACATGTACCTTTAAGGTATTAATATGCAACCTTTAGGGGGTAAATAAGGTACCTTTTTTGAACCTCCTTTAGCAACCACATCGGACAAGGGTCAATGACATGGCACTCGTTATTTCATATAGATCTGTTAAATTAGTCACAATACATTAAAAATGCACTTCATACATGCAATGCATTCACCTGATTACATATTTTCTGTGAGGAACAATATTCTAATTTCTGACTTAAAAATTCCATTTATTTATTTATGTATTTATTTTTTTATTTTATTTATTTATTTAAACATAAAAATGTGGGTGATAGAACCATTTTATCATAACAAAAAAAATCATCATTAAAATAATTAAATTCTTGTTTGCAGTTTGGCATAATCTTAGAAAAAAAAAATCTAATAATTTTATAAAAATGTATATATCTTGAATCAAATATTTGAATAATATTTTTCGTATTTTTATGATAATGCATGGTTAGTAAAATGTCTCCTTAAAACATAATATTTAAGAATGAACAATTAGGCCTAATTATGAAAAAATATTTACTTGTAAAAAATGGTTTTACCTTGAAAAATATTATAAAGAAATCATAAATTAAAAATATTAGTTGCAGAGGATAAGCAGTTTGAATAATAGATGGATTATATATATATTTTTTGTAATTATCATATCTAACAAACATGCAAAGAATACTAAGAACTTGGCTGCATTTTTAAAATATGTTTCCTATTTTTTTATCATGATCTCTTTTCTATTTGCCACAGATCATCAAGTAACCACTCAGAACAATACTGATAATGAGACTTCTGGTTTTCCAGACAGGAACCACTCAGATTTTCTTCCAAGTGACTCTTAAAAGAAAAAAAAATTGAAAAAAAAAATGTTTAAAACCAGACATAGGTTCAGTCAAATCTCTGACTACTCAACATTTCCTGACACCATGGCATCTACACAAACGGCATGGTCACCACCTGGAAACTGATGCTCAGCAAACACAAACCCGCAGAGTTCACAGACAGAGAGGACATTTACAGTGCATTCAACACCACACATATGAACACACATATTGAGCACATATGGCTGAAACCAAAGGTCAGTGTACAGTGTGACACACTCAAACCTTTAGCTGGGACGATTATATTAAACAACGTAATATTCTTTCACAGTCAATATTTTTCTAGCAAACAGTAGCAACAGAGTGAAAGGCAGTAGGTGTTCTCCATATGCTGTGTGCATTTTCCATCCATAAACCATAAATGTTGACTAATGCAGAAATGATAACTGTTAATACTTCAGCTCACATATCTAATTCTGTTGCAGTTATTTGATCCTCAATGCTGTGTCATGTTCAACAAGCTCAGGGCACACAATGTATTGTGTCCACATTATCTAAACACAACCAGAAGTTTGGCCTTTTGCATGCAAGTTCAGTTCAAAGTATATTTTCTTCCCCAGTTAAGCAAAGATTTGGTCTAGTTGCATGCACAATCCAGTTACTTCATTTTTCATGTATCACCCTGGCTTTAATTATGTTCACGGGCTATTACACACTTTAACTGTTCGTTTTAAATGCACAATAACCCATTTTACTGAGGCAGCTCATATGCGAGAAAAACTCAGATACCTTCGGCAGTCTGAGGAGAAAAGCTTTTATGTTCTGTTTTCAAGTGGGCATGCTTGACATTTTATGGCTGTAGTAATATTTCAGAGCTGCTGGTGCTTTCATGCGCTATTTCTGACACAAAGAGAAACCACAAAAACAGACTGCATTGTACAGATGCATCTAAAATATAAAATGCATTTCCCCAAAACTATTTCTGCAAAAAAAAATAAGTAGGTATTTTGCCAACTTGAAGGAACAAAGTTATTACGTTTTATTTTATTACAGAAACCACAAAAACAGACTGCATTGTACAGATGCATCTAAAATATAAAATGCATTTCCCCAAAACTATTTCTGCAAAAAAAAAATAAGTAGGTATTTTGCCAACTTGAAGGAACAAAGTTATTACGTTTTATTTTATTAAGAATATTTATCTTATACCTATCTTATTTCATTAAGATCTATCTATCTATGGAAAACGTTTGTCATTCCCAAAAGTAGCCTATACACTTACCCTGCAGAATGCTGTGCCTGCAGTCGGTTCTTCAACAGCAGACGGTCGTTTCCAATGAATTCATGCTTTTGTCAGCACAGGGTGCTCAGACTGTTGTTCACCGTGACACTGAGCCTCAAAGACACGACTGTCATTGCGGGTCTCAGTTCAAAGTGCGCTCCTGCGAGACTCATCGCGCAATCTCACCGCCTCCCTGAGCGACGCGACGCGACGCGTCTTTATCTGCGCGACTGGGAGCTACGGAGCTGCACAACAATATGAAACTAGACCCGTAGTAGAGAGAGAACAAAAAAAGAAGAAAGAAAGAAAAAAAACTGACCGGGAAAAAAAGGTAATTAGATCCCAAAAGGCACCAAGTCCTGCTTGGAGTATATCGTCTTGGAGAGTCTATGGGTGCCGACATCAGATGAGCCGGTCACCTTTAGTGCACTGACTGATCGATTCAAAGATGCATTAAATTCAGGACCAGCATTAAAAGAGGAGACAGAAACTGAACTCAATACACTCAAACGAGAAGCTGGAGACTTTACTGTAGCAGGCATTAGTATATGGACTGATCTAATCATTCAGCTAAAGCTGTAGATACATCATCATTTTTTTTAACATTTGATGTGAATTTAACTAATGAAAATGTTATATTTGAGGATAGAAGTGTGTGCATTTTTTTTCCCTACACGTTTTATAATTATTAAAAAATGTGTCATGTTTTTATATTTTAACACTGGGTTTTCCTCGTTGAAACGGCAATTACTTTGTTGTCATTTTTTTGATATCATGTTTTGTTTTATTGTTTTGTCAATTTGTATGTTTTGTAACCATTTTAAGTTGAACTTTCTGAAAATTATTTTGTTCCTCAGCATTGAAATAATAAATAAATGAGAACTACAGAAAAGGAACAACAGCCCTCTGCCTCAGGCTCCCAGCAGACAGAGGGCGACAGTGCTCTTCACACCATCAGCCATGTGCTTTATCTAATGACTGGAGTCCTCCTGGCATTTTATTTACAGATGAAGAATTAATAAAGCTCTTAAACAGTATCTGTTACTGTTGTCATCATGTCTGAAGTTTCTGTATTTCCTGAGGAATTATGTCATGTGAGTAGATCAGTGATATTCTGCCTCATTAAATACCTCTTGAGATGCATAATACAGAAACTCGGTCCTCCTCTCAGGCTTAGGAAATCTAAAATATCAGGTAATTTCATTTAAAGTTTTTTAAATGTTCCTGCCTAAAATAGCCTAATTCTTATAAACTCAGAAAGTCGTGTGGAAAACAACAACAATAATAAATAAATTATCCTGATGCTCTTTCACCAAATATATTTACTTGAAGTATCCCTGAGATATTAAAATACAATTTTAATAATGAAGTATCACATTTTCATGTTCTTGGCTCTCTGATGTTGGTTATGGTCACATGACATGCAGGTAAACAAATCAAATATTTCTTTTTTTTTTTTTAGTATGTGTTTTATTTTGATTGATTTTAAAAAATATTTATTTGAATTTAATATTTTTTTATTATTATTATTATTATTTAATTAATTATTAGCTTTTCACTAAACTCATAACCCCCTGCAGTTCCTTCACAAACCCAGTCTGAGAAACCTTGACATAATGTAATATTTAATGCATGTCATGTTGTTAATAACAATAAATGGGATATATTTTCTTAATCTTTGTATTTTTATATCAATATGGTACAAGATTATCCTATTTAAATTCATGTGACTAATAAGAAACTTCAAAAGTAATCTAAAAGTATTCTGATTATTTTACCTAATGTGTAATGTAATGGATTATGTTACTTACTACAATTGTTGTAATGTAATTTGGAATCAGTAACGGATTACAATTTGTAAGTAATCTACCCAGCTCTGTATATATATATATATATATATATATTGCACAGTAGGCTTATTCTGTATTTCATCTGTATAATTAAAAAATACACCCCTTCATTAAAGAGAGATGCTGCTGGGCTGCACTGAATAGGCTGCGTGACAGATGGTGGCATCCCTGTCACCTTGGCAACCGTTGGCATTAAGCACAGGATTCCATTTGAAATCGAGGAAGAGGCCAGGCAGCGAATGCGTGCGCCTCTTACACGGGTCCCCGGGGACACGCAGACGCGTGCTTCGTGGGCTGGGTTTCATATGTCTGTCACATTAAGGAGGAGGAGAAAGAGATCGGGAATCTGCATGGGCTGGGGTCACTCCACGTTCAGTGATTTATGAGGTCACTTGAGGTTGTCGAAACCAGCAATGAAGTCGCATTGCTTATGACTTCATCTGAAATCTCAACAGCATCGTGCTGTTTGCTGATGCTTTAAAAGAGGACCTCATTTCCTTTTCAAACAGGTCGTGTTCTCTTACTAAATAGCCTACAGAAGCAGTCCATCTAATCTGATCTCGAAATGGATCTGATGTCCTGTGACAAGCAGAGTCTTTACGACGAATTCATCCTGCTACATTTTTTATCACATTTTTGGTTGTTTAGGAGACTGAAATGGTGCTAATATTTATATAAATACACTGTAAAAAAAAATATGTGACATTTACGGTAAAATAGAACTTCACCGTAAAAAATATGGTTGCAACATTTTAGGTTTTCAGGTTTTTACTGTAGTATTTTTACAGTCTTTTACTGTTAAAATAACAATCATTTTTATAGTGTATGTATTGTCTATATTATTTGAGAATGTGTTGTGTTTTGGTTAACATTAGTATGTACGCCTAATATACATAGCAGCTAGAGCTGGGTAGTAACTGATTACATGGATTACGTAATCAGATTCCAAAAATTAAGTACTTGTAATTAGATTAATTTACATTTTAAAATACTCATAATCGGACTACAGTTACTTTTTTATTGATTACATGATTGCATATTGTTTACACAATAGCAATAATTTATTCATAATTTATTGATTCTTCCTAATTCCTCTTTTTCGTCTACTAAACTTTCCTTTCCTTTCTCCTACTGCTTATATACACTCAGAAAGTCTTCAGTTTTGAGGAGAGATCAGTCATTAGTCAGATGGATACACAGCATTTGACCACAGGATTTACACACACACACACAAATCATTTCAGGACTCACGCATCCATCGGTTTCAGCATACCAGTTATGTGAACATCGAGCCGATGCGCAAAAACGGCTATGAGAGAATGCCCCCTGTTGAAGAGACGCTAGCCAGCTATCTCTCTAGGGGTGAGACATCGTCTCTCAAAACTCCCTCCTTGCCATCCGTGCCCCTTCAGACTACATCTCGCTTGAATGGCAGGGCATACGCAGCAGCAGGTCAGGCTGTTGCTTCGCTGCACACGATGGCGGTGCTCCAGGCATACCA